TCTACAAAAGGGGAAAATCGGAAGCAAGTATAATAAAGATAAGAGACTTCTGATGTGGGTGGACAATATTGTAATTATAAAGAGATAACCAAACCGTAGAGACAATTCGTTTGGCTAAAATTCCAATTCAATTGACACCGACAAGCTGAAAACATGAGGTCTGAGGGCAAGATGGTAGAAGTGCTCCGGTAAAAATTCGGTAAATGCACCTGTGTAGAAGTTTATACACAAATAGAAGCAGCAGTGAATGAGTCAGAGCAAATTTGTTTAATGCATGGGTAGGTCCAGGCAAGTCGGGAGCCGAATGTTAAAATAAAAGTAATCCCGCTAGCCAAAGTACGACTAATTCTGATATCCCTTCTTTCACTCGCCGTAACAAAATCCTGTCGGCCGTCTGAAGAGTTGCCGGTCGAATATGTTTACGCTTATATGGACTGAGCTTTACATCACAATTACCAACTCAGCATTTCTGAAGCCACATACCTCCTGAGATTATTTGAATTTGACATTACTTTTTAAAAATCCGTATTTAAGCAGCTATCCTCACCACATTTCATTCCGTGATGGTTTTCATAATTGCCTTGTTGTACTTAAGCCTTAATTTTTGGCATATCATGTCCGTCGCGAACCCAGGATGGATTCCATTCTTTCATGACGGTCTTCATTTTTATCATTTACATAGAGCAAAAACCAGAGCACAGTTTGCAAAAGCTTACTTATCATAATAATTACAATCAGAGAGCATTAGCAAGTCCCTAGGCTAGACTATGAATAGTTTACATTTCACCAAGCGGTCCGGCTCTTAAGAAAGCAAATATAGGGGAGACAGGAGAGCCAGCGAAGCTTGAAATTATTTAAATCATAGAAATCATATGAGTATAGCTCAGAGTAAGATTGTGATTTCATGTCTGAAATAAATCTGATATTAGAATCTTGCTCAAGTTGTGCTTCTTATACAGAAGTTTGGACCCAAAATAGGATGACGCATAGAAAGACATGAAAGCTAAGTCAAAAAGTAAACGTCGACTCATATGCCGTAAGTATGAACTAAAAACAGCCAATACTATTTGGCTGAAGTGAAACAAATAAAACAAAGACATGAAAATATCGTAGATTCTAGATTTGACTGATAATTCAGCATCAGTGAACACCAGTTTCAACTCGAATACTCTTGTAATAGCTAAATCATGAATGGAAGTGGCATAAGAGCTGTAACATATCCTGCCTGTGCTGGTCATCTGTTGTGATTAGCTTGCTAATATTTCACTTGCATATTCGATTTCAAGCTATGCAATCCATAGCAATGCAAACAGACGTTCTTACGGTGAGCGAAAAAAGTGAATATAAGAAGGCTAATATCTTATCTGAGAAATATATTAAGAAGCCAAAACAGCCTCTTTCGCCTGAAGAAGGAAGTCACGCAGATCAAGGGTGAGACCACCGAGGCCAATAATGGTGAGGAAGTTAATAGCAAATCGAGTATCCTTTGGATTATCTCTTGGTAAAAGACCAGTGAAAAAGGGCTGGAGAGTTAGGTCACGCAGGCGCGTCTGTAAACCAGCCAAGCCCATAAAGGAGCATAATTCTAGCAGCATATGTTTGATGAATATACGGCCAGATGAAGTAGTATCGCGTTCGTTTAACTTAATGCATTCTAAAACTCCCCATGATAGAGAGTCTGTGTAAAGTAAATGTGCAAAGAATAGGGCAACATTGCGTAGCTTGGCCGTTTCGAGTCGGTGAATTACGGCATACTGTTCGGCGAAGATCTTCTCAAATTGCGCAACATAACTGATAGGAGCAGTCTGATCAGGGGCAGGTACTACAGAATCCTGAGAAGGCTTACCGGAAATAGTCGTCTTATTTGGCTTGACTTCCGGTTTAGGACCATTAAACATTCCACTATGTGTGATAACACGACAAAGTCTTTGTCCCAATCTGCCATAACGAGACTCATAACTTCGCGTCTGTGCACAACAGTCCAAAACCATGGAAGCAACTTCATACTCATCACCAGGCTGAATTTTTAATTGCAATAGGCGATGTGCTGCCTCATCAGCACTTATACTGCTCTGAAGCATGAGATATATGGTGCGTCGCAGGTGTAGTAAATTGGTCTCTGTTTGATCAATTATCTGCTGTTTGTGCTGATCATTGCCCGTACTAGCACCTGCCTGAGCCCTGGCATCGGCATCACTGTCATTTTCATAAGCACCGTCGGATTCATTCTTCTCATCGTCAGCATTACTACCACTTTCGGCATCAGAATCTTCCTCGTCTCCACTTTCTTCTTCAACAAAAGAGGCCCGAATAGCAGCATACTTAGCTTCATTTTCTTCAAAAGTAGGGTCAAATTTGAATACATTAAGAGAATCTTCAGTGTCCATTGGGTCAGAGATAGATAGAGTATGCGTAATTTGATCGTCCTCTGAGATGAGATCCAAGTCCGGAAGCACACTGGGGTGATCCTTCCAGCCATCTCGCCGAATCTAGATTCAAGACATGCTAGTAAGTGAATAATCAAAGATGGTCCATTAGGTTACAAATTATAACTAAGCCTTACTTGAAACATGACTTCGAGCATGTAGGATACTCGCTTGTCGCAGGCACCTTCATTTAAAATACGCCTGAGGTGTTCGAAAATGCCATGCAATCCCCGGGGAACAAGTTGCTGAAGAATGGACCCTGCCTCCTTAAGGACTGCAACAGCGACTTCGATGCCGTCATCGGTTGGGGACTCAAGTAAAAGGGTCAAGAGTTCCAGAACGACGAGTTCGTGGGCAACTTTTTGGTTAACCAAATGAGCCAAAAAACGCGAAGCCGTAAGACAGCGTTCCTTTTGGTTTCGCCGAAAAGCTTTCCGAAAATCGACTATTAGCCTCTTTAGCACAAGTTCTCCGATCTAATGAAGAATTTAAATTGAATTAAAACTATAAAAAATGGGGCACTAAGAATAGATCAAAATGACCACCATCAATGAAATTTTTTCACCTGAGGAAACTTTGTATTTATTATAGCGACAAGTGCAGCAAATACATGGGTAAAAGAGGGTGAAGAAGCTTGGGCTGTCAGGAGAGAGCGCACAAGAAGGCCCCTGCCACGGACAATATTCTCCACTAGCAATTGCTTGACGACCAGCTGTATGTTAGATACATTTACTTTATTAATATAACCATGGATAGATTTTTTCAAAGCCTCCCATGCTATCCTTTGATAAGCCTCTGAGGTTTTATCTGTGATTTGGGCCTGCATTTGGCGTAACCTGGCAGGGGGTATATATGCGCCCCCAGTGCGAGTAAGGATGCTGAGGTCCTCATTCTTTGGTTTAGCTACGTTCGATTCACTAATATCAGGTTTATGAGAGTGACTATATTCGACCACTGGACTTGTCTGCCGAACGCGCTTAATATGGGATGCAGCAGATGAATTAGAGTCCATGCGCTCACGGCTTTTCTCGCGATGTCTCCGTTCATGCTCATCCTTTTTGGAGGGATGATCATGAACTTTAGGAGAGTCGCGGGAGCTGGAAAACTTTTCCGGAGAGCGGTTTCTATGCCTGGGCGAAGACGGCATAAAGGGATATCCGACGACTTGAAACTCGCGGAAAATAGACTATTATAACAGCATTCCTCAATTTGTATGATAAAAGATAAATAGTTAATAAATTGTATTTGTTTAATAAGGTTATTTTTTGTATTTAATTACTATTTTAGTGGATTACATTAGTTTGCTCTAATACTCTAACTCTGTTAGAGAGTTAATGATCTACTAATATTTTTGAAATGTATTCATTCCTGTTTGCAAACCTTTATAGATGTAGAAAAAAATAATTTTTAAAATTTGAATCTGCAAGAATATAGCTTTAATATATGATCATTGATCTTTATGCTACTCATCCATTTGCTGGTTTCCAATATTTATCACTGAAAAACTTTAGCTTCCAAGCCAGAAATATTATATGATTTTTTGCCATTCTTTTCTTTCGCAAAGCTTTGCGTCTACAAAACACCTACAAGTAGTCAAATAATTGGATTTTAGCCTAGTGAGAAAGATATAAATGGTCAATCTGGTATATTAACAATTATTAAGTTTCGTTATAACTATACTATGGATTATATCTATGCAAAAAGATTGGCAAATCGTAACAATCGTAAGTTCGACATATTGCGAACTAGATAAATGTATTCAATAATGATTAGCCTGGAAATTTGTTAGACATAATTTATTCATTTATGAGATTAATCAGGAATATTACATTTGTAAATTTAGAAATAGACTTATCTCATGATGGAATGCTATCTAGCATTATATTTTATAGCGTAGTTTAAGGTTAAGCCTACAAATATTTTCATACACTCCGAGGAGCATGAAATTTTAAAAATAAAGTGGATATGCACTTTTAGGATGCTAACTCATGATTTATATATAATAGTTATGAAGAGTAACTGGGTTTTGATGAATATCCTGAGATAACAGTATTATTGGGACTTTGATTTCGTATGAAAGTACATGAAGAACAGATTCGAAGGTCGAACTCACCAGAAGTGGACGGTTGAATCCCGTAGTACTGCAGCCGTTTGGCCTTTATACGACGTTGAGATTGATGTAGTCCACGAAACCTCTTCCATCTTTTCAGGTGAAAACGGGCTGTGCCTTCATCCATCATGTTATAGACTTCATCAGAGCTGGAACTCAATCTTGTAGAGTATTTTCGTCTTAGTCTGATGAAGTCCACCATATGATGAACGAAAATTCAGCCCGTTTTCACCTAAAAAGAGGAAAGTCTCTTGAATTCTATCATAGTCAACGTCGTATAAAAGCCAAACAGCTGCAGTAGAATGAGATTCAACCATCCTCTTCTGGTGAGATCTACCTTCGAATCTCTTCTTCGTACACTTCAATAGGAAATAAAAGTCCTAACAACTATACATATTGAAGTTGTTTGACCTTTTTTTCGCAACTTGGTCATATTGGTAGGAAGACTTAGACGAACGCAACTTGTCTTGAGACAATTGTATGCATACTCATTTCCAAAGTCGGACCGTGGATGTGGTATATCCCAGACGTTTCGCTGGCATCGTAGTCAGCATCGTCAGTGAGTTTTACCATTCATAGCTTCATATTACAACTC